GATAAGGAAGCTGGCCTTTTGTCCTCCATAGGGGACAGTGGAACCCACTCATTCCACCAACCTGAGTGCCACCACAGCACTTTATACAGAAGGTTGAGCACCCTGCTTTGTGCATTTGAGAAAGTCACCCTGGAAGTCCATTCAGTCCATGTCATGGGCTGGGTGTTTTTTTCTTTTTTTAAATTAGCATATATTCATTGTACAGGGGGATTCATCGTAACAATTCTGAATAGCCTTACATTATACATTGGTTAGATTGCCCCTGGGCCATCTCCTCCCCATGACCCCCTTCCTGTCCCACTTAAAGCAAGATGTTTCATTGTTCTACTTTGAATATGCATATGAAGCGCATCAATCATACTCCATCACCTTCATTTCCATTCACCCTTCCCTCTCACAAGCACCTCTCCCCACACTGTGTCAACTTTGTGCAGAGTCAGGGTTCCTATCCTCTAAGAACCCATCCCAAATGTGATACCTTTTCCATGTTTCTTCTTTGCATTTCGTTGGAAGTTTGAACTTTGTTTGATTAAATGACATGGACGGCCAAAAAACGCTGACAACCAGTTTGAAATTTTTTCTCCACAATCATAAGTATTTACCCTGGCCCAAAAAAAAAAAAAAAAGAAAAACAAAGGTGAAAGTTTAATATAGATTTTCTTAAATAGTAATTTAAACTGCAAAAAGTCAGATTAAAATAAAATACTGCACAAGAGGGCACCCTGAAGCAGCAGGTGGCTGAGGATGTGCAGAGAGATTTCCAATGCTTGTGAAGACCTGAGATATGAGGCCTGTAGATGCTTCCAGACCAGATCAAAAGCTTTGCAAAATCCTCCTGGAAGATCTTTTTATATTACTTATTGACATTACAAAGCACAAAGCTTAGAATGTGAAACTTTCCAGAGTGGTATTTTGCTTTAAAAAGGACTTGAATCCAGAAATGTGACCTTGGTGTTGTACAATGGACCTAACTAAAATGCCTTCCCTCACAGCAAGATCACGTGGCTGACATAGCTGGTTTATAAAATGAACGCTGCACCTTTAACACACTGATAGAAGATCATATTCGATCAGGTGTTTTTAAACTCTGGAATCCTTTAGAATCTTTTAAAATGCATTTCACTATTTTTAATACCAAGTTTTATCTTGGAATTACATGTATAATATCTTTTAAAAAATCTAATATCTTATCTTGGGATTTCAAGATAGATATTGTTAAAAAAAATTTCCTGGCAAAAAAGGGTGGGAGGCATGGCTCAAGTGATAGAGCACTAAGCTAGAAACCCTAAGTTTAAACTCTAGTACCAGAAAGAAAGGGAAGGAAAGGAAAGGGGAGAGAAGGGGAGGGGAGGACACTTGAGAGACTGCACCCAAGTCCTCTAGTTAGCTGAAAAGCTTCATTAACCAGAGCACTACATTCCTCCCAAATGGAGCCAAGTGAAATGATCGACCTGAGATTGGCCTGATAAACAATTTCACATATCCCTAGATATTTTTCCTCTATCAGAAAGTTTGCTATAACATGCAAAAAAGATTTACTTAAAATTCATTGCCCTAATTGCAAATGATGAATGTTTAAATAGGCAAAAAAAAAAAAAATACTAGTTAAATTGGTACAAGTACTGGCAAGATGTAGCGTGTGCTCAGCCCTTTGGCCTCCAGGGTGGAAACTAGTGCCCATAGTGCTCAACTGTATTGAGCACAGCCATCCCACCAGCTCCTGTCTACACTCTCCTGGGGGCATATTCCTTTACAGTCCCAGAGGGATCCTCTGCCTGGCACCCTCCACCACCAATGACTTGGGTCCCATCTGGATGCAGCTTTACTGTGTAACGTATCATGCATGGTTGTGTATGCCCCCAGCAGTGCAGAGGAAATGTAACTGACTTGATACCCACACAGTCCCACCATCTACTGAACACAGACCTATCCCCTATCACCTTCATTGCATTAGCAAATGTGTAACTGATATTTTAGAAAGTTGTTATTATATATAAATCTTTAGTGAACTATCTAGAGTCAGATGTTTTAGTGTTAGTGGGAAACTGATTGGTATCAGAATGGGACAGATTTCCCATGATTGGAAAATTTGCTCTTCGACATTTTTAGGTACAGATCAGATTTAGGACAATTGGGATATAGACATTTCATGTATTAAACAAATGTATAAACTATCAAGAAGTAAAATAGAAATGCTATGACATTCAACCCCATGCATTTCCTAGACTTAGCAGATGCCTTACAGTAACAACTTCACAACTTCATGGTATTTAACTCATAGACTATCATATGACTTTTCACTTTAGATACCTGGGGACAGTGTGACAACCCACCTTAACCAACCCAAGTAGTTCAGGTGATTCTATTTCCAGACTGAACTTCTGATGCCTACCTGATTTTCTCCCTCACCCTGATCCAGGCCTCCAACTCACCTCTTGCTGACACAAGTACTTAGCTGGTTTTCTCACTTGCTTTCCTAACTCCTTCCAACCACTTTATACTTATCAACCAATCTTTGAAAAATGTGTGGTGAGATCTCTTCCCTCGCCATCAGGCTCTACTGGACTGCAACAAACACTTCCCTGCTTCCCCCTTCTTCCCACCTTATGCTCTGTACCCAGCACTGTGCCAGACTTTGTAGATACAGCACAGGCATTCTAGCAGGAGGGACAGAAAATAAACAATATGTTGGGAATAATAACAGGAGAGGAGAGGAATACATCAGGGCAAACAGAAAGGGAGGGCCCAGCTTCTGTGGGTGGTCTCAGAAAGGGGCTTTGGGGAAGAACCCTGGCCGAAAGGACACTGGTGGAGAGGGAATGAGCCCTGTGGAGTTACAAATAGGAAACAGCATTCTGGCAGAAGGAACAGCAGGTGCAGCATTGAGATGGGAGCATGCCCAGTAGGTGCAATGAACTCAAAGGAGACTATGCATTCCTACAAGGTGGATGGTGAGCCTCAAAACACATCATTCAGGGCTATGCTCTCTCCTCCCTCTGTGCCACTGAGCCCATTGGAGACAAGCTTGTCACCCACTTCAGAGTCTCACCTGTCTGCACAGACCTTGCTCTGGCAAATTTGAGCCCGTTCACCATCTTCCTCAAGAGGCAGCTCTATGGGCTCCATCCCTAATGAGCAAGGGAGAGACAAATTAATCACCACACAAAATGAACATCTATGTAAGTAAAGGCCTGTTATCATGAACTATATAAGAATTTTAATGATGTAGAATTTGGTTGGATCAACAAAGTGTTGAATCTTAGAAACCATTTTATCACACAAAAATTTTCTTCATCATTTTCAGTGCTGCTAACAGCTTGTGCTTTGACCATCTTTCTCATGGAAGATCCCACTGCGGGCAATCACCTCCATCGTCCCTGGGATGCTCTCTAAATTACTTTGAAAGATTTCTCTGCTCCACATGACTCCACATTTTGGGGTCATTATTCTCTAAGCTACCTAAAATCCTTTAGAAATAGACAGGCAGGCATGAAGCCTCATGCTGTGTAGACATCAGCCCAGAGCACCAGTTCTTTGAGCCCCTGGGAATCGGTATCAAACTGGATTTCTGCATTGATCATCATTATAGTTAAAAAAGAGGTAACACTTTCTTTGTCAATGGGGTTGGAGAACTATTATTTTCTTTAATTTACCTATGTCATATACATAAAGGAGTGTGTAACATACATGTGTTGTATAAAATTATTAACTTGTTAATACCCTGGGTATGTGATCTTGAATTAGAAAGCTACAGTAAAAAAAGACTATATATTAATATCACTAATAAACGTAGGTACAAAAATACTAAAAAATATATTAGCAAACCAAACCCAGCAATGTATTTTAAAAATTATTGTCACTGGGCACTGGTGGCTCACACCTGTAATCCTAACTACTTGGGAGGCTGAGATCAGGAGGATTGCAGTTTGAGGCCAATCCAGCAAAAAGTTTTTGAGACCTCATCTCAACCAATACTTGGGCACGGTGGCATGTACCCGTTATCCCAAGTTATGTGTGAGGCTGAGATCAGGTGGATCATGATTCCAGGCCAGTCCAGGGAAAAAAGTTGGTGAGACCCCATCTCAAGGGAAAAACGATGAGCACAGTAGTGCATGGTTTTCATCACAGCTGTGGAGGATAGCATAAAATAGGCGGACCACCATCCAGGCTAACCTGGGCAAAAGTGAGACCCTAACTCCAAAATAACCAGAGCAAAAAGGGATAGAGATGTGGCACAAGCAGTACACAGTACTGCTTGCCTAGCAAGCATGACAACCTGAGTTCAAACTCCAGTATCACCACCAAAAAAAAAAAAGAAGAAGAAGAAGAAGATCATGAGTTTAAGGCCAGTCTGGGGCAACATAGCAAGACACTGTCTCAATTTTTTTTTTAAATTCAAAGAGAAAAGTGTTGAAAGCAGTTCTACACAAGAAACTTGTATCCAGAATATATAACATACTCTTACAATTCAATAATAAAAAAGACTAATAGTCCAATAAAAAAAATAGGCAAACAAGGACGAGCCTGGTGGCATAGACCTGTAATCCCAGCTACTTGGGAGGTGGAGATAAGGAGGCAGAGATTGGAAGGATGGTAGGTTGAGGCCATCATAAGCAAAAAATTAGCAAGACCCCATTTCAACCAATAAGAGGCATGGTGATAGGCTCCTGTAATTCCAGCTACTTAGGAGATGGAGATTGTGAAGAGCTGGTCTGAGGCTGGCCCCAGGTAAAAATGCAAGACCGTATCTGAAAAATAACTAAAGCAAAATGGACTGGAGGTGTGGCTCAAGTGGTAGAGCACTTACCAAGCAAGTTCAAGGCCCTGAGTTCAAACCCCAGTACTGCCAAAAGAGAGAGAGAGAATATGATGTATGGTGTACCATACAATTGGGTACTATTCCATAACAAAAAATGAAACACCAATCACATTAAAACTTGAATGATTCTGGGAAAACACTATGCTGAGTACAAGGAGCAAATCACACATTGTACAACTCCACTTACATGGAAACTCCAAACAGGAAAATTCACAGAACCAGCAAGTGGACCAGTGGTTGCTCAGGGATGGAATGGGAGTGACTGCTCATGGGTGTAGAGTTTCTCTTTTGAGTGATGAAAATGTTATAAAGTTGGCTGTGGCAATGGCTGTGCCACATTGGATGTATACTAAAAACCATTGACTGTAAATGGTAGGATAAGTTTTAAGGTATAGAATGTTAGACAAGATAAATAAAAGTATGGAAAATGAAACACCATCCAAACGTTAATCAAAAGAGAGTTGGGGGACTATTTTCAATATCAAACAAATCATTTCATACTTCACAGCTTGTAACAAAGAAAATCACCCTGTATAAAGAGGGACATTACTTAAATGGGGATAATTCACCAAGAAGACATGTTACTACAAAATGAAGTAAAAAAAAAATTAACAGAAATAAAAAGAGAAAATAGACAAATCCCAGTCAACACTCACCCCAATAGAACTGATAAGCAGAAAATCAGCAAGTGCTCAGACCTACAGAACCACGCCATCCACCTGCTGGAGCCAACGGGCACTTACAGAAGAGCCCATTGGCAACAGTGGACTCCACAGTGTGTTCAAGTACACATGGAAAGCTCAAGGAAATAGAAGATATCCTGATCATAAACAAAACCGAACTTCAAACAATTCAGGTTATGTTTTTTTTTTTCAGAGAGGTAAGTAGAATTAAATTAAAAACCAATAATATGTAACAAGAACATCTCCAAACATTTAGAACTTAAACCATGGGTTTTTATGAGTCAAAAAGGTATAAGGAGCACAAATTAGTACCCAAAAGATATTTGGCATCACTGGCCATAGAAAAATATGAATTAAAATCAGGAAGAGATACCACTTTGTATCTATTAAAATGAATAAAATACAAAATACTGACAATACCATGGGCTGACAGGAAATGGGGCAACTGAAATTTCATATGTTGTCAATGGGAATCCAATATGGCTCAACTCTAGAAATGGCTCAGCAATTTCTTTTAAAAGTAAACATACATTTGCCATATGACTCAACTCCTGGGTATTTTTTCCTAGAGGAATAAAAATTTTCTGACACCAAAATCCTGCACATGAATGTTTATATCAGTTCTGTTCACAATTGCTCAAAACTGGAGAGCACTGTCCAAGAAGGCGCCAAGGGAGGTGAAAGACATCAGGTTCTCCAGGAACTATAACCAGAATCCACACAAGTGTGTGGCTTATGCATGTCATGATGCCTGCTTTTCCAGGACTGCTGGCCAGCCCCAAACCTCCAGGGCTCATCAGTCCATTGGTGGTTGCAGATTTGGTTTGAGGTTACTTGTATGCAATGGCTTATTGAAACTGAGATGTTTCTAGGAGACCCCTAAACACTGGGAACAGAAATTGGAGCAACACAGACTTTGTAAATGTCATGCCATTCATCTACTCAAGAGTACTGAATAAAAATCAAAATTTTACAATTGTTCAAAACTAGAAACAACTCAAATATCCTTCACCGAATGACTGAATAAATGCACTCTGTTACATTCATGCTTTGGAATACTACTCAGCAATAAAGAAGAATGAACCGTGGTTACATGCCGTAACTTGGATGGCTCTCAAAGGTCTCATAGTGTATGATTCTCTTTATAGTAAGTACAGCCTCAAAAAGACACAACCATAGTGAAAACAAACAGATCTCTGAGGCTGGGGCGTGACTCAGGTGGTAGAGTGACTTCCTAGCAAGCTCAAGGCCCTGAGTGCAAACTCCAGTGCTGGTTGCCAGGAATTAGGGGAGAGAAGGGGAGGACTGCAAAGAACAGCAGGCTGGAGTTCTCTGGAGATAATGGGGATGTTTTATACCTTCATTGTGGGGGCATCTACTCAAATATGGACACACATTAAAATTCATATGGGAGAATAAAAGGCCAAGAACAGCCCAACAATTTGGGAGAGTGAGGTATGAAGATTCAGTCTGCACCTCTAGGAATACTGGCCTATGGGCTCAAGGAAAATTAAACCAAGCAACAGAAGAAATCACAGTAGACATTGAGAAAATATGGAAATATGGTATGTCACAAAAGTTTAGCAACAGTTAAAGAAGGACATTGGAAGATTTCTTTCAGTACTGGGGATTGAACCCAGGGCCTGGCACATGTTAAGCAAGCACTCTACCACTTGAGCTACACCCCCAGCCCTCATGTTTATATTCTGTTTTGGAGATAAGGTCTCACTAACTTGGCCCAGGTTGGCCTCAAACTCACAGTCCTCCTGTCTCTCACCAGTAGCAGGGATTAAAAGCTTGCACCTTCACATCTGACCAAAAACTGGACTATTCTGTAAATGGTAGGTAGGGTGAGGAAGTGGGAGGAATAAGACCCAGGGCACAGAACTTCAGCTATATCTGTCATGTTTATTTTTATATTGTTGTATTACTATTATCATTAGGAGGAGGAGAAAACATGAGAGAATGAGGAGGATCTGAAGAAAACGTGGCCAAATGTTAAGATTTGTTGAAACAGGAAGCTATAATTCTGTATTATATTATTCTCTACACCTGTGCTGTCAAATAGAGCTGTTAGCCACTTGTAGCTATTTAGATTAATTAAAATTAAATAAAACTTAAAATTCAGTTCTGGTGTTGCACTAGCCACATTTCAAGTACTCAAAAACCACGCGTGATGAATTGGACAGTGTAGGTTTTGAACACGGCCACTGTCACAGAAAGCTCCATGGGGGCAGAGCCACTGTACACCTTTCTGTAGGCTAGATAGCTCACAATAAAAACCAACAGGGAAGAAGGAAAGTCTACAATACACATTATAATGAGTGAAGGAGAAAAAGAATGTGTGTACATGACAGCATATAATTCCAAGTTTATACCCCTTTATTTTTTTTTCAGACAGCATCTATCTAGGTAGCCTAGGCTGGCCTCAAATTTGCTATCCTCCTGCCTCAGCCTCCCAAGTGCTGGGATTACAGGCCTGCACCACCACACATGGTTTACTCTTTGCTTCTGATTGGACTGTTGGATTGTTACCCCTCTTCCAGATAGTTCCCCGAACAAAAGGGGAACAAACTTCATTGTCTCTCCTAGACCCCATTTCCCTTACTTTAAGATAATTTTAATATTTGGCAGAAGAAAGGCCTTTATTTTTACTTCTGAGTATGAAAGCTGCCATCCATAGCCGCTCTGTGGAATGAACCATTTTCACACCTTTGGCTTTGATGACCATGATCCTTTGCTGCAGGTCAATGAAGGGCTGGATCAGGCAGAGCCGGGGCTCCTGCTTCTGATTCAGGCAAATGCCATTGTGATTCACAACCATCCAGCTGCGATCATACAGCAGGCCTCGGTTTCCTACAGGCCACTTGGTCACCTAAACAAAAGGTAGGTTTATTTTAGGCTAGGGCTCTTCAAAGACGTTATTCTCATATCGCGGAGGGGGGGGCACAAATACAGACTTCATGGATCAGCACATACTCTTGAAGGAGGAGAAGAAAGTAAAACAAAGATGGCGGTGCAAAGGACACAGTGTGGGATCCCTTACCTTCTGCTACCAGATCCACTCTCCCCATTCTGCGTTTCACCTGTGTCCTAGGTAGGTCTCTGTCCTATCCCATCTCCAGAAGCCCATCTCCAGATTCTCCTCTGTGCAGGCTCCTCCTTCTTGTATATCCTTCCGCTGTGGTGGACTAGACCAGGCATATCCTAATACCCATATCCTAATATACAAATTGCACAAATTTTGGCTACACTGACATTATTACTGAGTTGGTCCATTTTAAGTATGTAAATTTTCCTGAATTCTTCACATTTCTTTCCTTTTTTTGGTGGTGGGGGGGGAACCCGTACTGGGGTTTGAACTCAAGGGCTTCATGTTTGTTATGCAGGAGCTTTCCCACTTGAGCCACTCCACCAACCCAAATTCTACAAAGTTAAAATACAAATTATAGCTGAGTGCTGGTGGCTCACGCCTGTAATTCTAGCTACTTGGGAGGCTGAGATCCGGAAGATCACAGTTAGAGGCCAGGCTGGGCAAATAGTTTGTGCAACCCTATCTTCAAAATAACCAGAAAGAGTGTGTGGCTCAAGTGGTAGAGAACCTACTTTTCACAGCAAAGCCCGAGTCCAAACCCCAGTCCAACCAAACAACAACAAAAACAACAACAATAATAATAATACAAAGTGTATCCAGTATTCAGATCTTGCTTTCTAAGTACCCTTCTCCAATAAAAAGAACTGGAAGTCCTTGGAGAATTAGTTCAAGGAAAAATAAGCCTTTACTGAGCCTCAGTGTCCTAACCTATTAAATGGTTCAGCGATGCCCACCTGTATCATCTTCATGCTTGTTTACAGAACACAACCCACCTGTGAAAACACAGCCTTTATAAATAAGAGGAACACAGAGCCCTCACCTGCCTCCACTCAGGAGGGGTGAACGTACTCATTCATGGGCTCAATCTAGAGGCCAGGCTCCTGTGGTACCATCCTGAAATGCAGGCCAACAAACAGCCATGACCTTCGTATGTCCAATGAGGAGCCAGAGCGCCTGCTGTCGCAGAGGCTCAGGAGTCTGGGACTTAAGACACACAGAGACTGTAGAAAGACCAGCTCAGGTCAGGCACAGCAGGAAGACAGCTGCTCAGGGACCAGGGGTGGTACCAGCCATGGCAGGCCTATTCAACTCAGATTTGAGGATCGCCTGGCCAGCGTACCTGCAGTTCTGACATACATTATCCTTCAGTATCCGCAGGAGGTTGGTACCTGGACCTCTCACCGATACCAAAACCTGTGGGTGCTCAAGTCCCTACATCAAACCGAGTAGTATTTATGTCCATACCTTGCACGTCCTCACATATGCTCTATCTATACGTGACTAATGCTACCTAATGCAACAGAAATATGATACAACAGATGTTATGCTGTACTGTCTAGAGAACAAGAAGAAAAAGTGTGCACATCTCAGTACAGATGCAATTTTTTTAAATATTTTGATCTGTGGTTGATTGAATCCATGGATGCAGAGCCTGTGGATAGAGGATTGACTATAGCTTAGTTCCACAAAGAGGACTGAGCACAACAAATCACGTAAGAGCATGGACCCAAGAGTCAGGAGACCCAGGTTCAAATCCCTGCTCTCCCATTTATTAGCAGGTGACCTGGACAAAGTGCTTAACCTCAGTCCCCTCAGGCTCTGTGTCTATGAAATACGTGTTGCCATTCACATGAAGTGTCAGCTTGGTGGATCATGTCAAACACTTCTGTGAGGAGATGGCACACACAACAATTAGTAACAGGGTCGTTGTGGTCACCACTCAGAAGCAGGGTTCTTTCAGGGGTCCCTGTAAGCAGAGTCACATTCAAAAGTTAGCCCATTACCAAGAAAGGCAGACTGAGAGTGACTTTACGTACCACAAGCTGCAAATGTGTGATTTTGATTTTTACACTTTTCTTCACCTGCTACATCTTTTCTTCACTTTTTCAAAAAAAAAAAAAGTACAGAGACAGCAAAAAGCAGTAGTTTCTGTGCTGCATTGAATGCCTTACCTCAAATGCAGCACAGGATTTGATGGGGTAGAGGTAAAGTTTGGTAACAACATATGGTCCAAGGTCCTCAGGCAAGACACCTGCAGCTTTCTCTGGAGGGGACAGCTGAGTGCTGGAGGCCTCACTCAGAGGTGGGTGCAAATCCACAGTATTTGTAGCCAGGTGCGAGTTGTTCCAAACCTTGGGGTCTGTGTGGAAGCCTTCCTGAAGTGAGAAAAAATGTCTGCAGGTGACAACAGGTATGTCCTGGACCTCACTCTCTGCTGATTGGGTTCCAGCTTCCCCAGTGCTGACCTGAGGAACAGACTGGCCACCTGGTGAGTGAAGGAAGGTGACAATGATGAACCTAAGAAAGGCCTGGGCATCCTCAAGTGTAGACATGAATCCAAAAGAAATCCTCACAGAGCCCGTAGTGTGCCCATCTATGATGTCAATACTGTCTCCACAGACATGACCAACCTGGAATAAAAGGGAGAGAAATTTGCCAGATGGACTCAAGTCTCATGGACAAACTGGAAACAATTTTGTTAATTTTTAAAACTGACCTAGGAAAATAGATGTGCAACACTAGTGTGCTGTGTGTCTGAGACACAGTTCAGCTGTACACGCTCAGGGGCCCACTTCCTGGACCTCACTTTGCTCAGCTGGGAATTGGGGCCAGTGCCAATCTTAAGGGCCATTAAAAAGTTTAACAAAAAGAGCACCTGCCTAGCAAGTGTGAAGCCTTGAGTTCAAACCCAAGTAATACCAAATAATAATAACAGAAATGCTTCATGGAAAACATTTACCCAGAGAAGTCAAAGACAGACCAAGTTTCAGAAGCACTGTGGGGGTCAGCTTCAGGGTCTGCCCAGGCCTGAGGCTGGAGATGTGCCTGATGGCCACCTCATCAACCTCTCTCAGCACCAGAGGGAGGCCTGTGTCCCTGAGAGCTGCCCCTTGAAAGAGGGAACAGCACAGATGCTGCCCGTGGCCCCCCAGCCCCCAGCCACTGTGAAGGCCAGGTCAGCCTGAGTGCGTCTGTCAGGAGGGGGAAAAAGACAGGTAGATGTTGGTGTCCCAGCCTGGCTGCCTAGTGTGAGTCACTGGTACATTAGGCTGCTCAGGACATCTCCCCATTACAGAGTCCAGGCCAGTCACCCAAAGAGATGGGACCATGGTATTTCACACAATTGAATACTGTATCTACAACTGCATTTTGTTCTGTTCTGAATCTCTCTTCTTTCTCTCCCCTTCTCTATCTCCTCTCTCTCCTTCCCTCTATCGCTTTTTTTGGGTGGGACTGGAGTTTGAACTGAGGGTTTCATGCTTGCAAAGTAGGTGCATCACTGAAACCACATTTCCAGTCCATTTCTCTGGTTATTTTGGAAACAGGGTCTCACAAACTATTTGCCCAGGTTGGCCTCGAACTGCGATCCTCCAAGTCTCAGCCTCCCAAGTACTTAGGATTACAGGTGTGATCCAGTGTCCAGCATCCATCACTCTTCTTAAATAAAAATCTAGTTCATAGATTAACTAGATTAAAAATCTAGTTAGATTAAAAAACTAGTTAGATCTCGTACAGCAATATTCAGTGGCAACCAAAAAAAACCTCAAATTAGAAACCATTTCAAAAGGCATTAAAAGCTCATTGCCACTCAAAATATTCTTATGAAATGGTTCAAAACAGGTTGCAACCTACAGTGGGAAACCTCAGCCCAAGGTGAGTGACGGAGGGCAGGGATTCTAGGAGACACAGAACCCAAGAAGCAGGGAAGGGTCCCACACCACTCCAACCGGGAGGGAGGCTAAGAATAACTGGGAGGACGGGGCATGCACTAGAATATCCCTCATGAACAGTCATTTTTGCCTTTAAATTTTTACCCTCAAAGCAAAAACGAATTAGAAAGTACTGCCATAGAGATGGTATCTTGTGGTATTTCCCATAATCATCAACCTCCTTTTTCCTTTGTCCTTTCGCAGAGAAATGAGCTAGAGGAACCAGCCCCTACCAACACATGACCAGCCACAAGTATAGCTGACTGCTCACCACCATGTGGGTCCCCATGCCCCCATCCCTACACTAGGGATCAAATCCAAGGCTAGGCAAAGGTGCTAACACTTAAGCCAGCCTCACCATTCAGAGTTGATAATTGGAATCACAGCATTTGGGCCACAGGGTTCTGTACCCACCTGAAAATGTTTCTTGACCATCTCGTCACTTATCCCCAGGTGCCTCTGACAGGCACCTGTGTTACAGAAGCAGCCAGTTCGCAGATGTATGTTGTACAGGCTGGCCATTTTGTCCACCTGTGGATTAAACATGACACAGAGCCAAGATTACGTGACCAGTTTTACTCTTGATCACCTGGGATGGAGTTTTACATCAGTGTTTGGTCCTCTCTTTTCTAAACAGAAAGAAAAAAAAAATGATGGTGGTCTGAGCTGGAATTATGCTCTAAAATGCATGATCCATCACAGGTTCACTCAACATTTTGTAAAATGTTCTAGAAACTAAGCTTATCCAGTTGAATTATACAAGTATGCTTGGCAAAGTGAAAATATCAGATTCCAAGTTAAGACCTCACGTATTCCCAGTAAGGTTCACAAGAACAACGTGTTAGTGGGCTTGGGTGGTTCCTTGGCATCTATTTGATCACAGAGCCTGCAGACCCCAGTGAGGTGACCTCAGTCGCAGCCTGCATGGATGTTGATTTGTGTGGTAACCATTTCCTTTACCTAGTGTCTCCACCTTTGGGTTCAGCCAGAATTGCTGTTCTGTCTAGAAGTTGACATGGCTCTTTCCTGCCCTCTGGAGGCCCTGGAAGGAGATTCCCCTTCACTCCATCCCCAGGGATATTTGTCTCAGCTCCTAGGCTAGGGATAAAGAACTCTATTCCCCCAAGGCTTCAGGGCCCAGTAGGAGTCCTCACAGCCTGGGGAACTTGGGCTAAGCTCAGGGAGAGGATCACCTAACTGCATTCTGGGAATCAAACACATCTTGTCCAGGTGAGCAAGCCTTTGAATCTTCCTCCCAGAGGCAGCCACAATCACAATGCAGACTGGTCACAATATGGTCATCCTGGGCTCTTGGCTTACCTTGTCAAAATCATGGCTGTCTTCATTCTGGCTGTCTCCCTTGTGAGTGTCCCAGGGAAGAAAGCCAACAGAGCATCACCTTTTCTGACCTAGCCTTAGAAGCCATACAATGTCACCTTCGTGGCATTTTATTAGTTACTAGTGAGTCACAAATCAACCCAGATTTAAGAGAAGAGACATTGACCCCAGCTTTCCAAGGATAGAGTAACAAGTTCTCATGACTGAAGGATGTGGCGGGGAAGACAGTGGTGCAGCTACACTTAGATTCTGTCCCCATTTTCTGTTTATAAGCCAGTTTCCTCTGGCCCTGAGCCCTGGGGAGCCCCACACAGGCCCAGCCTATCCCAACCAGGTGAAAAATGCTGATTGCTGTGGCAGAATAGACACTGAATCCAGAGAGGGATGAGAAACTGGTTCAGCCACAGTGCACAGGGACTTCCCAGCCCTGGAGTTTTGGTGCTCAATGTTTATTGAGCATTTGTTTGATCTCAGACTGTGTGTTAAGGAATGTATATGCTGTATCTCAGTTAACTCATAATAGCACTATACAGAGCATATGTCATTATCCTGATTTCATAGAGTCTGGGAGAACTTATGTTAAATTGCTCAAGCTCACAGAGCTAGCAGGAGGCCAGTTCTCCCCAGTGGGAAGAACAAAATCTGGAGCTCAAATATCAAAAACAAGAAGCCAAAACCCAACCAGGAAGTCATTTGATATCTCTAAAGGCCACCCAAATCCCTGTAGAATTCCCACACTGTATAGTTCCCTGAGCCCAGGAAAACCTCCATTGGAGTTTGTATTTCTAAAAAAAAAAAAAAAAAAATGGTGGGGGGGCAGGTGCAGCGCTTGGCTAGAGTTGTGGCTCAAGTGGTAGAGCACTTGCCTAGCAAGCATGAGGGCTTATGTTCAAACACCAGTACCATCAAAAAGAAAGAAGGGGGGGAGGGAAGGAAGAAGGGGAAGGAAGAAGGAGGAAGACAAAAAGGGGGTACTGAGTTCCAAACAACAAGCTAACATGACATTATAATGTCATCCGACATACTGCCGGATCACCAATTTGTCTATGAATGGAATGGAATGACCTCAGATGCCATGTTCTGTCCACATTGCTTTCTATCAAGACTATTTTAGGGTACCTTCTCTTACTGGCAAGCTCTGTTAAAATATATATATATATAAAACATAAAATGTATACAGCTATACAGTGTACAGCTGGGTGGTTTTACGTACATTCATGTTCCAAGTCCCTTTGTCTTTACTGCAAATTCCTGAGCTTGATAGGACTTCCAAGTTCCAGAGCAATTCCACTGTAAAAAGGTAGCAAGATGAAAAGAAAACCTACCTGGGAGTAACCGATGACATTCCCACTGGCCTCCAGCACATTCAAGTTGATGATTGGACCCTGAACGTCAGGGCTGCTGAACTCAGAATCACTGTAAATCCGAACTACGGGGGCTCCGTTGGGGTAGCGGAGAGAGGACAGGGCAGCATAGGTGTACTGTGCCAATGTGAAGGTGTGCTGCCTTACGTTCTCCATGCCACCTCAAGACCAAGTTAAAATGCAGAGAGTCATGAGCCTCACATAAATTCCTTCATTTTTAATAAAACAAGATTATTATGACTGGGCCTCATATTAATGATATTAAATACTTGTAAATATGATATGGTGTTACCCTTATGATGATGGTTTAGCTTGTCTTTGTTGTTTCTGTGAAATTTCCCCAACAGAAATTCTTGTCATTGTCTTTTTAAAACATAAATACATATATACATTATATATTTATATATATTTATAATCACATAGATATAGTTATTCAAACATTCAGATAAATATGACCCTCTGGTAGCAGATGGCAAAAAAATGTATAATTTTTTTCTTTAAACATCATTTTTTCCATTTATTTTTGTTAATGTTTAAATTTTTTTATATTACAGATAGCAATTAAAGATACATGATTTGAACCTTGCAGGCATTAGTCTAAGTGAAATAACCTAGGGCTTGCAGAATAACTCAAGTGGTAGAACTCCTGCCTAGCAATCATGAGGCCCTGAGTTCAAGCCCCAGTACCACCAGAAAAAAAAAATCTCTGAAATAAGCTAAACAAAAGAGGACAACTATATTATTATTCTTATATAATGTACCTAGAAGAGGCAAATTCATGGAGACAAGAAGTAGGTTAGGTGGTCACAGAGGCTTCAATGGGCAGAGTTGCTCTTTGGGATGATGAAAGATTTAGGTCACTGATACTGGTGATGGTTGCACAACAATGTGAATGTAATTTAAACCACCAAGTAACTTTCATGTTATATATATTTTTGTCACTACCATTACTATTATTATTATTTTGAAGCAGTAGGGATTGAATTCAGGGCCTTGTACGTGAGCTCTCTCACTTGAACTATATCCCCAGCTCTTTTGTTTTTGTTTTGGAGACAGGCTCTTACTACCTTTTCCCAGGCTGACCTCAGACTTGAGATTCTCCTGCCTCTGTTTTCAAAAAAACTACAGCAATTTATTAGAAAAACTCATGATTTGCCATATTGTGGCCAGATGCTGTCAACCTTTGCTCTCAGAGTGCCCCTGCCCCCATTAGACTCTGACACCTGTGGTTTGGTTGTCCTGTCAATATCTTCCTTTAGAATGTGCTCATTTTTCAGTGCCTGTCTTTGTTATCTCCTCCCTTTGTCCTGGATCATGCTTACTTACCTCCCTGAACTACATGAGGGGGAATTTTTCTTCTCTGAATATCTGCCCCAGGGTCAGCTGAACCTGAGGTCCTCAGGGGTCCCATTAGTGTGACAACAGAGAGAAAGGAAGGACTGCCTAACCACTAAACAACATCCCTGGTTTACCACACCCCACCCTGAATGGCCAGTACAGGCAATGTTACCAGTTCTAGAAGCTCAGCCTCTGGAAGGGATACCCATGAGCAAGTTACCATGGCTGATGCCAGGTTCACCAGACACAAGCACTTCTGGTCATGTATCTTTGTGTCCATCCCCATAAGATGGGAAGTGGCATCTCTCTGAGTGACATGAATTTAAATGCTACCCCTCCTAGTTCCTAGCTCGAATTTAATCTCTCTGAGCATCTGATCCATCGTGGGCAAGATGGGCTTGGTGTTAGCTCCCTGTGGGGCTTTACAGAGGATCCAGCAAGGTGAGAGCTGAGTACCTCAGGATCCGGAGCCCTTCCCGGTCCAGAGACCAAGGACAGCGGTTCCATATTGTGCCACTATAGCTCCTGAACTAGAATGTCTCCTATCTGTTCTTCTTTGAACTGTCAAAGAAAAAAAAAAACTACCCCCACCAAAACAATACTATCATTCCCTTGGTCTCAGAAGTTATTTGAAAAAGATATTTTGAATCAGAATCAGCTTTAACTGCATTCAGTGTCCAGTTACTCTGCGCCGCTCACTTCCATAGGCACTGTCTCCTTCATCTGAACCACATCTTTGCCAGGGCTCCCTCAAGGAGCTGATTCCACATGGAAAAAAGTCCACTGACCTGTGAGATGCTCTAGGGTATCAAATCCATGTTTCAACGCTATCACGTCAAGGAAAGGGATGGTGCCATCTTCAAACCTACAATCACGGGATGAGGGGAACAAGGTCAGATTTCTGCTAACACAATCCACATTGGTTTTGTGGTATGTAATGAAAGGTTCATTGTAGGCTGAGGGAGCATTACTAGCTTCCCTCTGCTGTTTTATAAAACACTGCTCTCCCCCTTATGAGAGGGACTTGGCACACCAGGACTCACCTGGCTGACTGTGGAGCCCTGTGGAACTGGGCCCAATGAGCCAGAAGCCACTGGCAGGAGACGGAAACAAACTTGGCATGAGATACCAAATGGCTGCAGGGCTCTGCACAGAGGAGTTACATGATGTGACGTGATCTCGACTTAATAAGACCCCTGTGGGCCTCTGGGGAAGGACAGACTGCAGGGTGACACAGGGATGAGGTTTCTATAAGCATCCAGACAAAGGATGGTGACAACCACCATATGCAAGTTGAAGCTTTCAATAGAAACGCTGTGCTTTTATTTAACACTTTAGAGTAAGATTCACTTAAAACATTGTTTTTGCCAGGTGCAGGTGGCTCACACCTATAATCCTAGCTACTTGGGAGGCTGAGATTGGGAAGATTGCAGTTCAAGGACAGCCTGAACATATATAGTTCATGAGACCCCATCTCCAAAACAACCAGAGCAAAATGGACTAAAGGTGTGGCTCAAGAAACAGAGCACCTGCTTTGCAAGTGCAAAGCCCTGAGTTCTTTTTTTTTTTTTCATTTTTCTTTTATTATTCATATGTGCATACAAGGATTGGTTCATTTCTCCCCCTGCCCCCACCCCCTCCCTTACCACCCACTC